CCTATATTTATAGGTAAGAATCAGGGATATAATGGTAATAATTTCTAGGGTTATAGGGGTACAAATGTCATTCACCAATAAATTTTAATGGACCATTCATTTACAACATTAAGAATCCCTTGATTTTTCTAAGATTTGGATTAGCCTCAATTTCACATTTTTGTTAGATAGTCCCAGAGTGATTGTTTTGTAACATTTGATTTTTTATTAGTATTTGGAGTAACCTAATTGGCGAGATTTGTTAAATTCACTTATATTGCAACAAGACATTTTTGCTACTGAAAGCATATGAATTAATTGATTCATCAATTTATATATATATTTTTTAATCAATCCATTACAAAGGCGAAGTGTTTATTTTATACTGAAAATAAAGAAAAATACGAATTCATAAGGAGGAAGCCTAATTTAACATCTAATGAATAAAAATGAACAAATCATTTTTTGTCGTAGAATTTTTTTTTTTCAACAAACATTATTTGACGAGCGATGACAGTTTATTCCATTGCCGAATATAATCAATTATACGTACAAATGGTTGATAATTGAGTAATATTTGTGGGTTTGAAATGTGTTATTACAATTAATGTTTGATTTTTAAGAAGTAAAATTTTAGAAGAAGAAAATGAAGAAATTTATTAGTTTAAATAATTATAATAATGATACCATTTTCCACGAGTTAGTACACACGCTTACATACACGAATTAAGATGCCTGTAAAGTCGTAACGTACGTAGTCCGACATAGGATTCACACGAGTGGCAACTTGTGTAATAATAATCATTATACATAGCACGGATTTTGGGCTACGGATTACCTACGTATCCGGGAGGAAATCCAAGGAAGAATTTGACCTAAATTTTAATATAATAAAATTAATACCGTTGATATGTCTCCGTCTCTAAAAGCCGTTGATTTTGCACAATGTAATGATAGCAAGCAGGATCATCATTATCACTCTATTGACAACTTCAGTTAAATTTTCATAATTTCGAATAGGCCTATTTTTCTATAATTAAGAATGCATTTAAACAATTTTGTGACTTTTTATCGGATTGTGAATTAATTATACCATCACAGCTCCTTGTTCATATAGAGCTTTCCCAGATTTTCTTATCAATTTTTCATATATGCAGGTTGTTATAACTAAAGTTTGTTGTGGCACATTGAAACCTAATTAAAAAATGCCCTTTAATTACTTTATGATGATCATATAAACTCAACAATCCATTTTCGGCGTAATTAAAGCTTACTTTCACCTATACCTCCGTAGTAACCGATGCTTACTTTCATCTATTGACCTAACCATGCCGGTCATTAAGTACCAAATCATTATTGATCAATTATGATACAATGGAGTAACACTTAGTAGTATCAATGATACTTTATACGAGTTTAGGTGATAGTAGAGTCACCATTTCATTGTCCAATTAATAAAAAATGCATCCTAATTTAGTAAAAAATGTAGTAATGAGATTCACTATCACATAAACTGATGTTTCGTGCTCATTTCAAAACAAGACGTGTGCCAAAACCAAGAGGGATGACTAATAAGGATAGGCTTAAGCATTATAGTGTCAAGTAGGATTTCTCCTTGCATGTGGCTTATCTTGATGGATTTACTTCATTTTAGAACAAGATTTCTCAATAATTCTTGTCGAGTCCTCTCATATGTGAAGTTCATCGTAGGACTTTATAGCTTTTCTTGATATTGAATCGAGCTTCCACAATCGTCCTCATCTTATAAGGTCAATATTAGGCCATCTCCAACCCTGCACCAAATTTTGCACCATTTTGCACCAAATTTTGTACCAAATCTTGTACCAAACTAAAATTCATCTCCAACCATTACACAAAAAATTACACCAAATGAACAGTGTTTAACCATTTTCTTCCATTTTTTTATTCTTTATAATCTACTTATTTGAAATATTATTTATTGAATTATTTCATAAATACATAAATTAATAAATAAATAATTACGTTAAATTACGAAAAATATTAGATTCATTAATAAATATAAAAAAACGTAGAACAATTAATAAAAATACTACAACAACGAAAATATGAAATTATGCCATTAGAAAATAGTACAATGCATTTCGAATTTGGATAGACGATATTACGAAACCGCTAAATTTTTGCAATTTAATTCTCAAAATCATATGTTCATCCCACAAATGATCGATTAATGCATTTTGAAGTGCAATGTGAGTTTCTTTATCTTTGATTTGTCTATGACGAGCAAGAAATTCCTGAAAATGTCGATTTTCGTATATATATTGCTATTTAATATATTTTGCGTTAACTTTAATAAATAATCGTGTTTGATGTATTTTAAATTATTTTCGTCTTTTAATTAATTAATTAATTATTATGTCTTACATTTAAAATTTATTTTAAACACAAATAATATTAATATTAATAAAAAATAATAATAATTTATTTTATTAAAAAATATATAGCACAAATTACATAAATACCCTCAACAAATTTATTTGGGAAATGTTAAATAAGGGCAAAATGAACATTTTACACTTTGCACCATTTTTCACCAGAATGGTGCAAAGTTTGGTGTTGGATTGGAGCAATTTTGCACTAAAAAATGGTACAAAATGGTGCAATAGTGTTGTGTTTGGAGATGCCCTTACCACCTCGATCAAAACATACTCTTATCTTAAAATGCCATGTTACTATCAATAATCAATATACTCTTATTACATGTGAACAATGACTCTCACCAAAACTAATGCTTCTCTTTTATGTGAGTTCAAATGGGTCGAAGCCAATAGAGCCGACTAAAAGTACAGGCTAGCGAATTTAGCCGAGCCTTTTAGTACTAATTTAATTATTTTTCAAAAATAGTCTCCCCTCTTCAACACAGTCGGTGTTTGGCCCACAAAATCATGAAAGCTGAAATTTCAATATGAAATTAAAAAATCATATATTATTCATTATGGATCTGATTTTTGGCGGAAATGCAAAAGAGAAGGGAAAAAAAGAAAAGAAAAGCCATAAAACAAAAAGAAAACAAAGGGAAAAGCAAAAATCAGAAAAAGCAAACCAAAGAAAGCGATTTGAGATAAACACACCTTACCTCTCTCTTTCTCTCTCTATACGTATAGAAAGAGAAAGAAAAGATATATATATATATATATAGAGAGAGAGAGAGAGAGAGAGAGAGAGAGAGAGAGAGAGAGAGAGAGAGAGTCTCCCTGGTGATGGCGTGATTTACTTTTGCTTTTTTCTCAGACAGGAATCTTTGAAAATTGAAAGCTCCTCAAACAAAGAAAAAATATTACTCAAAATTACACTATTGCTCCCCAATCTATTACTAATTAGCATGTTAATCCTAAATCTTTTCATATACTTGCATAATGTTTTGGTAACTTCTCAACTCATCCAAAATTTTCAATTAGATTTCTCCTTTTGAAGTATATCGTGTTCTCCAACTTGTGATAGTGCACGAACATTTGAAGTTGGACATATTTTCATGCAATTCCATTCATGATAACTATACTGTTATGCTAATATCGGTTTGAAGTTGGACATGTTTTTAACGAAATTATACGTTTGAGTGAAAGTACAGTTATTATGAATGAATTTTTTGTCCATTTAATAAAATTTTGATAATTTATTTCAAGAAGGACGCAACGTGTAATTATAAAAAAATATTGGGAGTGAATTTGATCCTAATCTAATTTGTTGAGTAATATTTAGCTGGGTCTATAATTAGGAACATTTGTAAATTAAATAATAAATTTCCTTTTGTGCATAAGCAAGGAATTTAACTGAAGGGCAAAACAGTAATTTCAACTCGAAAAGAATGAGCGGTACGGGAATTTAGAGAGAGAAAGTTTCGGTTCTTTTTTATTTCCTTGATACTTTCCTCTTCCTTTCTCTCTCTTCCCTTTATTTTGCTTCGCTATCTCTTACTGTCCATTTGAGTACACGAAGTAAAGCTTTGTCTCCCTGTTTCTCTCTCTATAACATACAGATTCTTGCACTGTTATACAGATTTTTGGGAGTTTTTGTGCTTACACTGTGTGTAAAATGCGAGATGAAGTGAAATGAGCAGCTGGGGGTTGAGTGTAAAAAGCCACCTTCAACGGTTATGAATCCTACGGTTGCAGACCCGACAGCGCCGCCGCCGCAGCCGCCACAGCCACCGCGTTCCTCCTTCAGTTGCGACCGCCATCCAGATGAGCAATTTACTGGGTTTTGCCCTTCCTGCCTTTGCGAACGGCTCACCACCTTAGATAAATCCTCCTCCAATACGCCATCATCCTCTCGACGCCCCTCTTCCGCCACCGCCGCCGCCATTAAATCTTTGTTTACGTCTTCATCGTCCAACAAACCGCCGCCAGTACCTAAAACTGCTAGCTCCAAATCCACCTCATTTTTTCCCGAACTTCGGCGAACGAAATCTTTTTCCGCCTCCAAAAATGAAGCTTTAGGCCTCTTTTTTGAGCCCCAGAGAAAATCTTGTGACGTGAGGGTGCGTAACACTCTCGGGTCACTCTTTACTATTGACGACGTTAATAAAACCGCTAATAAAGCCTCTTCTTCTTCCCAAAACCACTCACAATATTCTCAGAGCAGCAAGCAATGCGAGTCTTTTGTTGCCAATAAACCCGTTCCCGAGGAGCACGAAAATGGTGATGATGAGGAGTTTATAGAACCTGAAAAAATAGAAGATTTTGCTTCTGCTGGTGAGGACAATGACGATGACGATGGTGATGAAATTGTTCCAGTTCGGGATACCCATTTGGAGAATCTTGGAGTCTCCCATGAAATAGAGGCGAATAATTCTGAAATTATAGAAGAAGTTCTGAGTGTTAACAATTTGAAGCCAATGAAGGATCATATAGATCTTGACACCCAGGACAAGAAGGGTTCTGGAGGGGGATTTTGGGCTGCGGCCTCAGTTTTTAGTAAGAAATGGCAAAACTGGAGGCGCAAGCAGAAGATGAAGAAGCAGAGTGATGGGGAAAACTCGGGCAAATTGCCTGTGCAGAAACCAATTTCCAGGCGTTACAGAGAAACTCAATCTGAGATTGCTGATTACGGGTTTGGGAGAAGGTCTTGTGATACCGATCCGAGGTTTTCGCTTGATGCTGGAACTGGGAGAATGAGCTTTGATGATCCCAGGTACTCTTTTGAAGAACCTCGGGCATCATGGGATGGGTACTTGATCGGGAGGAGTTTTCCGAGGATGCCACCAATGGTTTCTGTAATGGAGGATGCTCCGGCTGTCCATGGATCGCGGTCTGATATGCAGATTCCGGTAGAGGAGCCAACAATGATGACTGTGAATGGTGTTAATAAGGATGAGGGTGTGCCTGGAGGATCGGCACAGACTCGGGAATACTATACAGATTCTTCCTCGAGGAGGAGGAAGAGTCTTGATAGGTCTAGTTCCATTAGGAAGACTGCGGCTGCTGTGGTGGCGGAGATTGATGAGTTGAAGGCAGTTTCTAATGCTAAGGTTTCTCCAACCACCGCGGATAACTTTCATGGGGCTAAGGTATTGGTAGGAGAGCGAGATTTGAGGGACTCGAATTCGAATTCTTTAAGGAACTCAAATTCAAATTCTTTGAGGGATGAATGCTCTGAGGCTCTCGAGTTGAGTAATGGGTTTAGGAGTAACAGTTCGGTGTTAGGAAATGGGGAGCGAAAGGAGTCGAAAAGGTCAAGGAGCTGGAGTTGGAAAATATGGGGACTTATACACCGGCGTGGTGGTGGAAACAAAGATGAGGATGATGATAGATATAGTAGAATTAACGGGGTGGAGAGGTCGTTATCAGAGTCTTGGCAGGATTTAAGGAACGAACAGAACGCTGATCTCAGAGGAGGATTGAATAGGAATGTATTTCGAAGCAATAGTAGCGTGAGCTGGAGGAATTCGAGTCAAACTGAGGGATCATTTGGGAGTACAAGGCAACCGGTCGTTGACATGAATGGGAATGGGAAGAAGAAAAGGGACGAGTTTGTGTTAGAGAGGAATCGGAGTGCAAGATACTCGCCCAACCATTTCGATAATGGGCTTTTACGATTCTACCTAACGCCTATGAGGGGCAGTCGGAGAGGTGGACAAGGGAAAATAAAGCCAAATAATTCATATTCGATTGCAAGAAGCGTCATGCGGCTGTATTGAGATCCAAGGTCTTGAAGCTGTTCTCTTGATTTTAAAGTTAATTTTGTTGCATTTGTTGTGCAAACACGCTCTTTGGAATCTTGATATTATCTTACAGTGAATTGATCTGGATGCTATTCTAATTATCTTAATAATGAGAAAATCCCATGTTTCATTGCAATCCCTAATACAGTCTATTGTTCATTTGTGTTGAGATTTCAACCGGCATATTTGCCTATACCTGCATATGATGCCAGAGCTTATTCGTTATATTTTTATCCGATGATTTTGTTTGCTTGTTGTTCTTGATACGACCATGCAAGCACATAGTTTTTACTAGACATTGTCTGGTTTTAATTTGTCGCTGATTAAATGGATATAAACTTTTCTCGTTTCTTGAGCCTGCTTTAGTATTAATCTGCTTTTTGATTGGAAGTTCACAAAGGCGTAATTTTCGGATCAAAGCATGAATAGAAAGACATCAGAATAGTGATAGCACAATTAGGTGCCAGTGGGAGATAAAAGTTCCCCTAAATGAACCAGCTGATCTTATGTAGAGAAACAATCTCCTAAGCAGTGGATTTGTTGTAGTTTGTGTTCAGTACATAGGGTGCTAGTTTGAGTAATGATTAGTGCACAAGTTGGTATAGGAGAAGCTCTTTGTTAGTCCTATTCACTTACACAAACAAAACATAGTGGATTTCCCACCAGAAAAAGGAAAATAATGATTGTGTGTGTAATGGACAAATTTATCTCAATTTTCTTTGTTTAAAAGGGAATTGAAGAATCTTGATATGAGACATGCCCCGAAATGTGTGGCGTGCGTGTATACATGCCTATATACGTATCTGTAACTGTGTATGTACTATCTTAATTGTGCTTTCTCCATCCAGATATGGCCGTTCAACCTTCAAAATGTATTGCAACTCTTTTACCCTCTTGGTAGCTGCTTGAAGATTGAGGTCAGTTGGGGTTTGCTGAATTTCTGGGAATTGGATTTCCTGGTTGAATGAAGATGAAAAATGCAAGTTAAGTCGAACACTGTGGACTCAATAAAGCTCTCATCATTGGCCCAGGCGTACATTTGCTGAGGTCGATTTCCACGCTTCACATTTCTTATTTTCTTCAAAATCCCGGTTTCAATTCTACTGGATATAGTGATTGTTCATGGCAACGCCGGTGGATAAACTGTGCTAATGCTTAAAAAACTCTCAAACTTTGTCGATAATCGAAATACATCTGAAATGCTAGTAAATCAGAGTGTGTAGCAGTCACTTAAGACAGTAACATTTCTTGAATTGGTGGGTATGTATCTGTTATAGTAGTTGGTAAATGATAAATGATATATTGGTAGATTTGTTGAAATGTAGTTTGTCTTTGTTTTCCCCTTTCTTCTGGGTTTGGAGCTTCATTTCGAGCGCGAAAAATGCGAAATAAACTTCTACATGAGTAAACTAGTAGCTTATAAGTATGCTCGACCTTGCACGAAGATGGGGTGGAGTTGAATGATGAACCATACCTACAACGTTACCGTTCGTGTCGTGGATCAAGTCCCAATACAATTGAAAGTTTAATATATCACTATAAGTAAAATTACGGTCAAAAAGATAAGTGAACAATATGAAGCTCTACTCAATCTAATATTCCAAAAGCCACCACTAGGTTTTATGAATATTATAAACTAAAACTACCCTTTCTTATAAACTATTTATCATAGACTCGTACAAAGTTAAATACGAAGGGAAAACGCGCATAAAAGGACAAAAACATTTTGAAAAAGTAACAAAAGAGGTGGCCCCAGCAAACTATATGAAAATCAACAAGAAGGTATTAGCAGCCATGGTTCTTTTGAGTTCATATTTTGATCGAGTCATAGATGACATTAAAGTCAAAAAGTTGCAAGAAAAACATCCCAACATGCTTTTGGTCAAGTGGATAAAAAAGAAGACATGCAAGAAAAATAGACAAAGAGGCTCGAAATCCGATGCCATGTCAAGTTCCCCTAATTGGCTTCGTGAATTTAAAAATAAGGTTGAGAAAGAACATCATACATTGCTTACTATTCGAATTGAAGATGACAATGATCCATCTACCTACAAACTTCTTGCTTGCTTTCAATGTTGACTGGCCATTGTATAAGCGATAAAATAAGACCCTCATATAAGGCTTGGCTCCCAAACCGTACTTGACTGCCTCATATGGCCGGTCTTGAAAACATAAAGCTCCTTCCGATAAATATAAAGAAGGCATCCTCGAGCTAATTATTTTACTGGAGGAGGGTGACTCGTAGCATGTACCCTTCTTGGTCACATCTCCCGGTTTTTCTTTTGCAGCGATTCCCCTCCTTGGATCAGTAATTTCCATGCCCAGATTCAATCAGTAGACTTAAAGAAAATCACATAAACATTTGTTTCTTAGATGTTCCAGTAAAGAAACGAATTTAGAAGACGTAATCTATATTCTCTCTACAGCTTTAATTTACACAGAACATTAGCACCATGTCGGGAATAAAGTTGTTTTTGCTTACAATCATCACATACTGAAGATCTAAAATTCAATCGACAAATATAATACCTCCTGCTCGATCAATATATAGACAGTAAAAAAATCAATTTTCAAGCAATCTGGGTTCAGTTTCATTTCCAAGTAATGTTACAAGCCAATATAACGTCCTAATTCCACCATGTTTCATGGTCTTGTATAGACATGTAAACTGTCGGAATAAGAATTATACACATAATCGACGAGAACATAAATCTATCAACTTTGTTGGGTGCATACGATCAATAGTATGTATGGCTATTACAATGAGAAGCAGAAAACAAAATCATCAATTCTTTCTCACGATTGCTTTCAGAACCGTTAAAAAAATCCGATGCACGTTCTTTAGCAGGGATTGTTGTGAGGACTAACCAAGGTAGACGATGTTTGGAAGAAAACTTGAGAGAAAAAGCAACTCAATGTGCCAAATCGTCCACCTTATCTAGACACAATGGACTCGATCGAACTGAGATGCTGATGCATTTCCTGTAAAACCAAGAAAAACATCTGTGAGGTACACCCAGAAGGGAAAAAAGTGACTCGAGAAATAACGCAAAATAATAAACCTTCTAATGAGCCATGGTCACGGTGTTAGATATTGTGAACTTTTAGGGTGCGGTTGGTTTGCCGTTTTCAGGCTATTTTCCGTTTTTGAAAACGCGAAAAACCATTTGGTCTGTCATTTTCGAAAACGCATTTTCGAAAACGAGTTAAAATTTATAATTGAAAACGCAAAACGATTTTTTATCATTTTGAGCGTTTTCAGTTATAAATTGCCAAAACGCAAAAAAAGGGCCGTTTTCGGGAAAAACTAAAAATCGTTTTGAAAATGAAAATGAAAATGAAAAATGAAAAATGAAAATGCAAACCAACCGCTACCTTAATGACTAAGAAGCCACACGCAAATATCGAGTCTTGATGGCTTTCTTCCCTTTACATTGCTTTTGCAAGCCCATGGAATTGATGTCCACCACCTCGTCATCATCAGAATCAACTTGTTCTAGGGGTGACCTTGTCTGTATGCTCAAGCACTGCAGAATAATTACATTAAAATAGTAACTGATGATGGTTTCTTTGGACTTGGTTGGAAAATACTTAGAAGCCTGTCTCAAAAAGTTCTTTCCATTTGATTGTGGTTTCATTTTCACCAATGATTTGAATCTTTGCCGTTCCTTTGATGTCCACAATTTTGAAACTTGTTCACCCATCTCATTGAACTTCCATTGAAAGAAAGCAGGTCCAAGATCTCGTTGAAGAAGTTGCCTCCTCTCAAGAATGTGGCGTCTTATGCAGTCAACAGATCTTGGTGTGACACATCTACAAGGGGCAGGTCTCCCTTTTTCATTCATTCTCCCTCTGGTTAACACAGTTCCAACTTCGATGGGCCAAACTTTGGTGCCCAACCACCTTGAATTCCGAAAGTCATTCTTAAATACACCAATAAGAAGGCTCTTCTCCACCTGTCCATTCCACTCATGAACATCAGCCTGGAATCGAGGCCCAACTGGAACAACTTTTTTTTGAAGATGATCACAAATGAAGCTCGGTAACCTGAAAGATTTGAAAGGTGGTTGAAGTTTCTTCTTATCTGGCTTGTCCAATGTCACTGAGTCTGAAATGTGAGTTGCAACGTAAAGATTCAGTGATGTTGCCTCATTGGGAGTCTGGTTTTCGGGAGTCAATGGATCTGAAACATTCACAGATTTATCAGAATCTACTACATGAGGTATATCTTTACTGGGTGGATATCAATCTATTAAATCATCCAGGAAGGATAATTCTATATATAGCTGTTCCTCAGGCAATGTATCATCATATGTCATTAAACTGCCTGAACTACGCGACTTACGAATTTTCTTGTCAAAAGTCTCAGTAGGGTGAACTGAACTGAGCAAGCATGGAACAGAAGAGGCATGAGGTGACTGCCATCTACTCAGTTTCATGCCATTTTGTTTAGGTACCACATTTCCAGGAGTTGTTCTCAGCTCATCTTTAAGAAATTCCTGCAGTTTTCGCTTTCTCTGTGGAATAGATAAGCAATGACGACATTGTTTAATACCATGATGTATGGTTTAAAAGAAAAATAGAGTAAACAGCACTTCAGATTAAGAAAATTTGATTCTCTTTTTAGGAAAGAGAAGCACTATGAAAGAAAAAAGGGAATGACACTATTATTATACATATCCACACGACAACACTTCATCTCCCTAATGCACTTGAAAGCTAAAGAGACTTGCCTTTCACTGAACTAAGTTGTCTTCTTCATATGCTGAAAGAGTTAAAATAAAAATTTAATGCTCTACAAGTTTCTTCTGAAAGATATACTTGAAAAATTGAAGTCACTTAGGAAGACTCTAAATGATAGAAATGGGAGTTGGATGTCACTTGAAGGAATCAATCTAAAGAGAACCCCAGCTTAGAAGTTTTTCTGTGAACCTGTTGATCATCATTGAAGAATAATATTCATGCTCATTCTCTCTAATTATTCTCCACTAGCAATGGTGCCATCCCCTTCCCCTTCTGTGTAAAGACTCGAGAAAAAATGACAAAAACAAAAGGCCCCCACAAAATGCTCCAGGCTGTATTAACATGGGCCAGAAAGTTGAGACCAGTAATAAAAGGTCCAAAAAAGAAAAGACAAACTGGTGCATGCCTGAGCATTGGACTTAAGGCGAAAGCCTCAATTGGTGGGAGACATAAATCTTAAGGAATGGTACTCAAAGCGGATGGTTGACAGTATTTAACAAAAGAATAATGCTATAACAAGTTGCCACATAGGATGACTATTGACAGTCGCTGACTATGAATAGTATTACTCTTAACAAAAGCTTCACGTGAGGCACGCCGCCTTGTACATCTTTTATCCACACATTTCATAAGATCTTCAACTTACTACCCACTTATTATCTATACATTTCACAGATCCATTTTTTATAAGCACTTTAAAGCAATACCAACAAGCACATACATTTCTAATCATTAATTTTTATTAAGATTCCTCTTCATTCGGACAAGAAAATTAATTTTTTTGTAGCACAAAGTTGAACCGTTTAAAGATGCATATACAACAACCAAATCCCAATAATTTTTTCTTTTCTTTTTCCTTGTTTTTCAACTAGGAATAGTTTTTTCTCAAAAGCTAAAACAATAGCACTATATGTATTCCTCAAGACATTATCAAAGACACTAGAAAATTAAAACAAGAAAGTTAATAAATATAGTGGCCAATGGCCACATTGTATCAAGTTTTTGGACCAGTCTATACTGAGGTCAGCTTGTTTAATAACCAAGCAACATTCACACTCATTAAAACGAATTTTGCTTCTTCTGAAACAATGTTCCAAGTTTAAACTCAAAGGATCCAATAAGAAACATGCACAGCTTGTGTAGTAATCATTGGCGATCATAGAATAGCAACACAAATAACAAGCTAAATAAGATAATGCTTACTGCTTAGGACTTACCCAAGGAATTTCAGAATTTGTAGGTACCATAACTTTTCGCAGCCTAAGAATCTGATCACACAGGGGCTGAATTTTGTCCAGCGAAATTTTTTGCTTACAAGGATCCAGAGCAAGTATATTTAGCTGGGATAACATTTCTGCCTCCGAATATTTACCAAAAATTGAATTTAAATGCCCAGCCTTAATGTCTTCATCCTTGCACAAAGGAGCTTTACCATTTTTCTTCCCCTTGTCACCTTGTTTTCTTCCCATCCTTTTCCCCCAAAAATTCAAACCTGAAAACATAGCTTTATCTCAACAATTCAAGTTCAAAAATCTTAATTCCAAGCCTGAAAAAGAATTTGTATTCATATTGATATTCGTAGTATCTAATTTACTTTCATTTTCCCCAAAACAGAAGATTCGTTGCGACATTATGGTAAACGCATACATGATAAAATGAAAATAAATCAACATGGGTCTCAAGTACACGAGTGCGTGTATATGCGTAAACTTCATTCTCTAACTGGCTTAAGCAGTGAATGAGAGTGGAAGCACAAGAGGCGTCGAACAAAATTAATATGAATTCATATCTCCTTTTACTAAAAATAGCTTTTTAGGCAAGTTATGGACGGGACTGGATGGCCGTGGAGTGGGCGGAGAAAGGCGGGGGAGGGGAGGGAGACGGTAGAATGCAAGGAGAAAGAAAAGTTGCAAAAGTATTTATTTATTTATTTATTTATTTGTCTTCCTCCTCCTCTTCTTCTTCTTCTTCTTCTTCTTATATTTTTCCCTATCTGAAATTAGAGTGAAGGGATTTTCAATAAATTGTAACGCGTGAAAAATCCATGGCAATAATAGACATTTCAATTGAGTTGATTTAGTTATGGATTGAACCCTAGATTTTTATTTCTTTCCTTCCCGAGCAATGGGATTTAATGTATTTGTAGATCGCGAAAATCACATAACACACCACCAAATACTTTGTTTGATGGAAATGAACTTGCAAAAAAGTAAAGAAAATGAATGTGTGGTATGATGATGCATTCCGATCAATTGCTCCATATCGAGGCTCAGATCGACAACCCAAACGCATATGTACTATAATATTTGCAAAGTAATCGTAATTATACAATCAAATATTAACAATTCAACAATCTATGCCGATTATACAACTATTAACCAAATACGTAACCCTATATCAGAATGATGGTTAGTTTGCCTTATGACCTGCCCACTATAGGATGAAATAGAAAGATCTATTCGTTAGATCTCATTTTTCAACACCTAATTTACAAATGTTTACAGAAGATGAGAATAATCAAAGATTAACCTTAAGAAACTAGGGCTTTAGAATTTAGTGGAACTTACAGAGAGAGTGAGAAAAGTACTTGAGAGTAAAATGAAATTGAACCTTTTTTATCATCAAATCGTATCTTTTAAGTAGTTAGTAGAGGGATTCACCTGACCCAATAACAAGAGGATAGCTATTAAAAAGCGTGTCACGCTTTTATCCCTATATTATTTTGCAACTACGGTTTCTTCATAACACATAACGCATACTATTGACGACTCCTGCATCACTACTTGCAAAAGCAATATAGCTAGTCATTATTAATATCTAGAAATCTTAAGCAACTTTTTAAATTTGCTTATAGTGTTTGATTTTGTACCCATGTTTGCTCGATTGTGTTCAATTATACAAGTATCGACCTAATACCAACCATAGAATAGAACAAGGTTAAATCGCCTCTTGATCTACTGCACATGCTTGTGCATGTAGGAGTTGGGAACTATCGGAAATCCCATGTGCCCATGCAATGGAGGCTAAGCCTCAAAGGATTCCAAGGACGAGCCTGTAGAGTGTGTGCATGATTGCTAAAAATTTGCAGCATACTTGACTTTTTATAAGCATATTTTGAATCCAATCAATACGAAGAGGTTGTGGGCTCATGTTGATACCTTAGCATTCCTGCCACCGGGGTGATGTGTTCCTCAAAGAGGCAGAAAGCAAAACANGGGGGGGGGGGGGGGGGGGTGAGTAGGAGCGCATGAAAAGGGAAAAGCCCAACTCAACGCAAGGGCTCATTGCAGACCAGGCGTAAAACATGAACTTCTGCCTAAGTTGGATATGAAAAAGAAGGGTCAAGTGGAAATGACTTGTAGTGTTTATGGCTTACCATACCAAAATAAGAGGTACCACTGATAGATCTGATGCACCAGTGCAGGTATGAGATGCATCTTTCTTCATCTGTGGTGATTCCAATCCCTAATAGGTCAGAATGCAAATAGTAGTGTAAAGATAAATAAGACTTATGCTTGCTGCTTTTATGCATGCTTGGTTGCTGATTTGTGTTATGACCTTTTGGTTTGAGCTTATTGATTCTTTGCTTCCTGCTTCCTGTTTCCTGTTTTCTTGTTTTAATTTGTTCTTGTTCATACCTTGTCCAAAAGATAGAACATAGGCAACTGATCTTGAAACTAAATATATACCAAATTTTACAGTTTGAGTAACCACCAGGACAGTAAAATATCAAAATCCCCCTTCATATCTGGATTACGCCAAATTCAATGAAAGAATTTGGTAACAAAGTACCCAAAATCCAAATGAATTGAGGCTTTCTCGGGCATTCGTGTGTGTTCTGGCTCCTTGATGTTAGAGTTTCGCAGCATGCATTAATTACAGATTTTTAGCGTGCAAAAAGAGGAGGATTTACCCAGACAAAAAAACTACAAGCATCATGCTGTGCATAGAAACAGCATCCTCTAAAAATTCTTCCCGGGTTGGATTTTGTCCAAGACATCTTCACTACCAGAATTTCTGCATCTTGGGATGACACCTATGATTGCATTTTGGAGAGAACTGGTTTAGGGTTTATGATGTCCCATTATTTAAGAACACTTAACGAACACCTAGACTCAGTGCTCTAAAAGGTGCGCATTGGCAGAGCCTTGGTATCGCTAATGCACGATGCGTAGTGAAAACGCCAAGCCAAGTAGCTTGACGCCTTATTTAGCGGTCAACAGAAATCGTTGATCACTAATGCACGTCTAGGCGCAGTTATACACACCTAGGTGCGCATAATTAATCATTCTCCCTCTTTTTTTTTTTTTAATACAATTCTTCTAAATTAAAACTTAAATGTTAATTTCTCTACTTTGTCAGTTCTAAATTCAAAACAGTAACTTAAAGCCTTGAACAAAGAAAGTTTCTCAAAAATTCCTATTTATTTACTATTTAATTTTTAAATTAAAAAACATATTTTTTTACGCCTAAACTCACTTAGTCTATAGCTTGGTCTCTACGCATCGTTATGCATTACGCTTTTTAGAACACCGCTTAGACTAGTGCTGAAGCACTAATTGTGTTGAATAACAGTATACTTTGCAAATTGAAAGTTGTATTTATGAAGGTTTCAGTTTATGTTTTAGTTGAAAAAAGGGATTGGCGATTTTTAATGAGCTTGCAATATTTCATTGTGAAAGGCCGTCGTGTTGGAAATATGCAGGTCATGTTAGTATTTCACTCAAAGCAAAGAAATGGAATCCATCTCAGTTATGAATGTATACACAATGTAAAGACTAATGATAATGACGAGTTATGTTTTGAAAATTAGTGATAATCGAGATAAAATTCTGACCGGTGATATAATTTACCCAAATGGAATTAGACGAGTGGTTAATGATTCTTGAGGATTTCGCACATCTTTTCCTTTAAAGTTGACGCCTTGAACGTTTTTTCCCCTGGAAATGAGGAAATGTCTTCATAAAAATTTGTAGTTTTGATCGTTTAGATCTCTCTCTCTCTCTCTCATGGCCCAGCTGTCCCTGCCCAAAAATCTTACTCCAAAAATCCTTCTGAGTCTCCTCAAGTCGGAAAAGAACCCCATTTCAGCTCTCCACCTGTTTGACACGGCGACTCACCACCCGAGTTACACCCACACTGACACCGTTTTGTACCACATCCTCCATCGCCTCTCCCTTTCGACCGATTCGAAACTCCTCCCTCACGTGACACGGATAGTTGATTTGATCCGAACCCAGAAATGTCCCTGCTCGGAAGACACGGTCCTGGTTGTTATGAAAGCTTACTCGAAAAATTCAATGGTAGACAAAGCAATGGAACTCTTCCAGAAAATGAGGGAAATTTTCGGGTGTGAACCCGGGGTGAGGTCTTATAATACTCTGCTGAATGCATTTGTGGTTTCGAATCAGTTGAGTAAAGCCGAGTTGTTCTTTAGGAATTTTAAGACAATGGGTGTTGCACCAAATTTAGAAACCTTTAATATTTTGATGAAAATTGCTTGTAAGAAGCAGCAGTTTGATAAGTGCCGTGACTTGATAAATTACGTTTGGAGAAGAAATTTGAGGCCTGACGTTTATAGTTATGGAACTTTGATAAACGGGTTAGCGAAAAGTGGGGGTTTGAACCAGGCTCTGGAGGTGTTTGACGAAATGCTTGATAGAGAAGTGATGCCTGACGTGACTTGTTATAATATTTTGATTG